GTTTGTATGACAGCTAATAGCTATAGTGGTTCGATCTAAAAAAAAACTTTTCAGAGATTAAAGCAGAACTTTGAGTAGTAATCTCCTGCGCATTTCGTGACGGTRCCTCGTCAAATATAGAAGTTTTTCATACACGGATTTAATATACCCTGTCCAGTGTATAAAAATACGAAAGCATCAAATCGCAGTTGTGCTAAGTTTTACTACAACCACAGCATTGCACTGTAACCAAAGGCATATAGGCACATGTACATAAAAATGATAATCAGTCTTAATAWTTAAACTCCAGTTAAGCCGATGACTTTCTTGCCAATTTTCAAGCCTCATTTTTCTTCTTACAAACACACTAGCGCACATACCCAATATTTATATATACATATATATGAATAATGTATGTCTTTATAAGAGTTTAAGCATACACCTCAATCATCCRCTACCTGCTGCCTTCACGTTTGCTTGTGAGAAACTTTGCGTGCGGCATAATCCTGTCAACGATGCCACCGACTTAGCGTGCTCATTATGTAGCAAGTAGCATACCTTTGCAAGTAGCTATGTATGTGTATGCGTATTTTTGGGCGTCATGACCTATTTGCCTACTAGCATACAACAAAAATGTCATTATTATTAATATTCATCATAAGAAATTTGGTTGCGCGCCACGAAAATCGCTTGTCATGTGTGTGGTTTTCAGCCGCTTTGCTGCGGTAATTATATACATACATATTTACGCAGCATGTGGGTAGTAGTGTAGGCATGCCAGCTATTTTAATTTATAAAAGCAATTTTCTTTTCACAACAATTTCGGCTTACGGAAGTCGTTTGCATTGTCTTCCATATTACTTCGCTTATATATACAKACATATGTATGTATATGTGTGTGTAGTAGCGCATAAGGATAAAATTTTAGCGTGACGGTATGTATTATTACTTTTGTTGTTGTCATTTATGTAGCCGCAAAATATGCCTTTTCATGTGACAACATAATTTTCGTTACAATTTCTTCGCTTTTGTGTTGAATATATTCATTAATCATTAGTTGTGGCAACATTTTGTGCCCGAATGCCTTAATGCCACTTTGCACTTTAGTTGAAGTTAAGTTCGGTAAGATGCTAAGCAGGCTTAAGGAATTTGATTTTTTTTTTTTTTTTTGCTAAGGGGATGACTTCATCATTTGCTATTTAGTTTATTGTATAGTTGAGGTATATTTCGGAGCGTGATAGGGATTATTGCTAGCAATTAGAAACTACTTACACTTAAGTAACTTGTTTCGCATTAAATAAGGAAATGAGCAGTGTATATTAAGTTTGCCAAGAAGTTTATAATACACAGCAGGTAACGGGAGAGGCTCTAATACATATGTATATATATATATATATATATGAACGAACAGCATGCCGCGCTGAATCGATTCATGTCCCTGTCATGTCCCTGTCATGTCCTTCTTTCTCTTGTATATAGGCAAATAGATCACTAACATTGCTAACGTTCTTCTTACTCCAAGAAACTGCTTATTTGTCGAAACTGCAGATATCGGACTACTATACTTGCATATACCCTCTGTTACTATCCAAAAAGCTCTGCGCTTTCTATTCACCCTCAGTTATTAGTAGAAAGCTCTGACCAAAACAAAAAAAAGTACGCGCGTTTATAGTCAGTCTGTACAGTTTATTAAGTATGTCATATGTCATGAGGCAAAATTAATACTGAAAAAAATACAAAATTTATATGAAATAATTCCAAGGCTGGCAGAAACTAATGCTCAAACTAGCACTATTATGAAACACGTAAGTTGTTTAAATTCAGGTGCTAGCACAGGCCTAAAGTGGTGGACCTTCGACTACCTCTAACAAAGAGAGGCTATATTTTCGCATATGGGGGAACATACCTGCAAAGAGAAAGAGAGAGAAAGGAAAAACGAGTTATTAAGGGTATTTAGACAAGACTGAACAATATAATTAATGTATATTATAAAATATATTTCTACACTGAACAGAGTTTTTGAGTTTGAAATGAAGTTTGTGAGGCCCAAAAGKAAACGCTGGTTTTTCAGACCTTATCGCCTTAAACGTCATAATTAGTTACACAGTTTTCAATATATCACTCTAAAATTCCGTACACGTGGTTTTCCAACTAAAAAACCGCCTATTTGTCAGAACTGCGGACATTTCGCAACTGTAGCGTATAGCTGTCATACAAATTGACCTATCTAACGCATGCCCTTGTAGGGAAAACTKTTTTATTTGAGCAAATATCTTCATGAAAATTAGCAGCGATCATTATCTTAGATACAACTACAATCTTCTAAGAAATTGTTCAGATCGGACTACTATAGCATATGGCCGCCATACAAACTGACCAMTCAAACTCAAACCTTTGTATRGGGAACTTKTTTWTTTGMCAAGMAATYGTCAYRMAATTTGAGACAGTATATTTTTTAAGACTTTGCAACYAYCTCCGTGAAAAWTKTTCAGATCGGATCACTATATCTTATAGGTGCCATACAAAYTGAYCGWTYRAACTCAAKWCTTTGTATGGAGAACTTGTTTGTTTKACAAGATATCATCTYGAAATTTGACACAGCTTATTTTCTGAGACAKTGCAACATTATCCGTAAAAATTKTTTAGATCGGATCACTATAGTACATAGCTGTCATATAATTTTRCCAATCTAAGAAAAGCTACATRTCGTTTTATACCCTTTCATGCTACAAAAAGGGTACCTGTGTAGTGTATGATAGTTTCGATGCAACCCACTTAACCGTTTTTTTTTCCTTTTCTGTCTATAATATGACAATATATCAAATGTGATTAAAATTTCACCGCTATGCTTATATTTTGCAGCAGAAATGTCTCCCTCTGACAGAAGAAAATAATTCCTAAAAAATCTTGTAGTAAGTTGTTCTACAATGTTCAGCTAAGTGACTCACCCCTCTAATAATATATGAGGATTTTACTATTCACCGACATATTTAGGGCATATTTATCAGCTACTCCTTCTTAACCTCAAATAATACAAGCTATATGTATATATTAACGGTCAATTTGTGTGCAGTGCGTGGAACTAATTAATTAATTATGCGCAATTAATGAAAGAAATTTCGGAAGTCGAACTTTGCGGGAATTTAGTGTGTCTTTTTATAGATGTGTATAAGAGACAGGCTACTCGTTCTTAACCTCAAATAATACAAGCTATATGTATATATTAACGGTCAATTTGTGTGCAGTGCGTGGAACTAATTAATTAATTATGCGCAATTAATGAAAGAAATTTCGGAAGTCGAACTTTGCGGGAATTTAGTGTGTCTTTTTATGACTCGAGGTTACAATAAAATTAAAAGGGAATAAAAATAATCGTAAAATATACACATACATATATAATATATATACATATGTGTGTTTGAGGTACAAGAATGTTCATTTCATATACAATATGTCATACAGATCGTTTAAAAAGTGATAAGAGCAGTGGGTGGACGGCCATAAATCTTGCCTTGTCGGGTTAAGAGTAGACATAAATTTTATAAACCAATTTGTCACACGCATTAAGCACTGCATACTCACATATATCTACATTCAGGAAATCTTTATTATTCATGTGCGCCATTGTGTGMACACTTCGAACGATTATGTGCTTACATATGTAAGTACAGTAGAGTGTGACATTGAAGTCGTAAATATTTTATGACACCAAACAACAAGCAGCAACAACAGAGAAGCAGCAGCAGCCACTGAGTGCGCGGGGTTCCYCATCAAAAGGCGTGCGCCGGAAATGTGACACTTGTTTTCACTTTACGACATTGCGGTGCTGAGCGCTATGAGGGGAGCGCACGGAGAGTSTGCAGAATTGTAGTTTAATGTCACTTTGGCATGTCAAATGTCGCAAGGCACACGCTCAGCCGTCGCACAGTTTCTCCAGCAACAAATCAAATGCATTTGAAGCCAAGCTCTGCTAATGAGTGAGCATTTGCAGTCACTGTGCAGCGGCGCTTAACGATATGACGATTGCGATCACTGCGAATAGTGACAAGACATACAGTAAACTCTCGCGGATGTTACTTAAAAAGCTATAAAAAAATTAATTTGCTGCAAATGCGGCGAAAGCARGAAGCGTGTACTTGCTGCTTGCGGGTGGCAACGCTCACTGCGTACAATTTTAKGACAGATTTTTCCAAGTATTATATGCAATTTATTGGCTGATGTATGTCACTTGAGTAATTCTGTGCTGGCTGGGATTGAGTTTAGTTGCTGGCACGCTCTCTGTCTMTCACTCTCTCTCCAGCTTTCATGCAACAGTCCTTACAGTGGCTTTTAACGATTTTTGTCAAAAGACATGGCTGSAGAGTAAAGGTCGAGTATTTGTCGAGTGAATGATAAAGAGTATGTTGTTGTTGTATTTTTTCACATTACATGCATATACGTATGTATGTGCACACATWTATATTTATATATAGTGTGTCTGAGTAAATCAGTGTTCAATAACTTTTATTGCTTTGCATTTGTGTTTGTTGTTATGTTGACATTTAATGTTTTCCTCGCACCACTTACTTTTATGTCTTTTATGGCCAATTAAATTCTCAGGTATACTTCCTTGTCGCTGCCAAAAATAAGAAGGCACCAAATGAGCAGCAATAACAACATAATAATTAATTATTAATAAACAAAAAAAAAAAAAAAAAAGAAAACAAAAAAAAACTTAGTTCGGCTGCTAACCTAGCAGCTATAATACCCTTCAGAGCTGCATTCATATGGCATAAAAGGGTATAAAACTATATTTTGGCTGTTTTTGATAGTTCAGTTTGTATGGCAGCTMTATGCTATAGTGGTTCGATCCAAATAATTTCTTCGGGATTTGTAGCAATGCTTTGAAAAATAATCTGTGCCATATTTTGTGAATATATCTTCTCAAATGAAAAAGTTTTACATATAAAAACTAAAGYTGGATCGGTTATTTTGTATGACAGCTATGCTATAGTTATCCGTTCGGTACAACTTCTTCAAAGATTAGCAGCTTCTTAAATAAATGGACGTGGCACAATTTTAAATTGATATCTCCTAAACTGTGGTGACTTAGCTCGTCATGCTGATCGTACATATACATATATATAAATATATGTACTTTATGGAACCTGCGACGTCTGTTTTTGAGTATTACAAGCACCATGGCTAACTGTATATAACCTCTTCAGGGTATAAAAAGCATAATAGAGCGAGCCTAAAGAATGTGTGAATTATATATCCATAAGTAATGAATTGCCAAACCTTTTGGTGTACAAAATTAGGTAAGCTGGTTCGGCATTAGACTGTATACTATATAACTGGCGCTTTCATCGTCACAAGTAATTATGTGTTTTACAATTACATGTTTTATATCATAAAGTTACTAAATACTGCATATTTCAGCAAAAAGTTTCCATGAAAAATACCCCAAAAAAAAAAAAATACCAAAAATATACCATAAAATATGCAAAAAAAAACCAAAAATAATACTCAAAAGAAATATTAAACAAAATTTCCCCAAAAATACCCATAAAAATACCACAAATATGAAAAAAAACTAAATAAAAAATATCGAAAAAAATACCAGAAAACTACCTTAAAAAGACTATAAAAAATACCAAACAATATCAGCAAGACTTGGAAAACCTTCTACTTGCTGCTTATGCCCAACAAGTGAGCGTAAATTTTGCACTACAAGCGCCTTCTACACATTTTTGCGAACCTTACTTTCTTTTTATACTACATATTAATTAATTATAATTTATCGCATAACATTTAGTAGCCGCCTCTTCGCATCTAACACAAGCCAATGCGGATTCTCCTGTCGATTTGTTGTTATTTGCTACAATTTCGCTCACTCAACGTCAATTCTTGGCGACGAACTGGCAATTATAGCCCATTAAGGCGCTCAAAGTCATCAGATAAGCGTGTTTATACAACAGCCTGCTCCACGGCAAGCAGACTTTGCCACAACGCTGCAGTTTTTCCATATCACAATAGTCGTCGTTTGTCGCCGCGCGTCGTTTAAGAGCCGAGCAAGCGCTTTAATGAAGACATATCGGYTGCTGCTGCCCACTAGCAATTGTCAACTGTATTTACCTCTGCTAAACTACCGTTACATATTTTTTCGGTTACATATTTTAATGTGTGCGTGCCACATTATTTGCAACGCCAATGCAAATTATAAATTAATTTGCACGCATAGCGCTGAAGTGGCAGCAAGCAGCAAGCAGCTCCTTGAGTTACGATTTCTTGTGAGTCTTCAAGTGTTGCTGCGTGCTAAGKTCTAGTACGTAACGGTACTTGCCACCACACGCCGTTCCAAACCAAAAARGCAATACTCTAAATTATTGCACGAGTTCTGCATCCGTTGCCAGCGGCTGACGTCTACATGCCGGCAATAACAACAACAACAACAATTTGCTACCCACATATGCGCGCTGGCGACAATGGTGCAGCACATGCCGCACGTTGCATGAATGCAAGCAACATTTTTATATGCATATGTTTGTAGGCATACGTTGTTGTAATTGCACAACTATATGCATATGCAAGCATGTTTATGTTTTTTTTTTTATATATTTGTATATATGCATGTGTGTGTGTGTTTGCATTCGCAATAAATGGCAAGTGAAATGCAAATTAATTGCGCGCACAAGTGTCAAGTTTGCAACCAGTCTGTTGCACATGCTTGTTTGTGTGTGTTTTTAAATGGTAAATACCGTATTTACAGCAACAAATTGCTGTTGCATACACAAGGCRCTGGCCCACGCAAAATAATCGCAAGTACTCAGCAAAATGCTTCTCAGAAATTTCTTGTGCTCACTTACATGTACATATGTGTGTGTGTTTACGGCATTTGTGGTTAGGCTGTGTCAATAAACTGTG